AGAGAGGAACAAAATACATGAGTGAATTATGGAGTTACGTATTATATGTGCAATTGGTTGTGTAGGTGAACATGTTTCACTTCCTTCAAAAAGGAAATAAAAACAAAAAACAAAGTGGTGCAAAATATCAAGCACCTTACCTATATTATTATTAAACTACTATCGGTAGGAGGAGTATCGAATTGGCCTATTTTTTTTTAATTTGATCTTTTTGAAGAAAATTTATGTTTAGCCCCACGCGTGACGTGAACTCATCTTTGGACCCACTGGGGTCGGCGGCCAGAAATTCGAGGGTAACACGTCTGCGCCCACAGATCTTAGGCTCCGAGGTGCTCCGACCGCAGCATGCGCAGGCATCCTAGGTGGCGTTGACACGTGGCCGGCGTACCTAGAGCCACAGATCTTGGCTCTCCGAGCCATGGACCCCGACGCCAAGCATGTTCAAAACCCACGGCCAAGTTTCCTTTCCGCCGAGGCTGCTTTTATTCTTCCTCCTCCTCCCTGGGTTCTTCTCTCCCTAACCCGTCCAATCTCTTGAATAGATGAATTTGACCTTGGACACTTGGATTTGATCCATACATCTTCGTGAGCAAGGTATCCTCTCCCCTTATCATTTTTTATGCATTGATTTGGTATATATTACGTCTATTTTGCAACCTAGATACGTTATTACCTCATGTTTGAAGTGATTTTTTATTTTTTGTATTATATAGCGGTAGTATGCCAAAGCGTAGTAAAAAGCTAGTAAGTTCAAGGTAATCTCTTATCGTGTTATATTATGTTTTCATTTATGTGCAACAAATGAAAAATCCTAGGTTTATGGTTTAATATTCATTGCTTTTTGGTTCTTAGAACAAATTTGGTTCAATTGTGAGTTATGGTGGGATGACCGAAAATGCCTTCGATATATTGCCTCCGCCTGAGTGGTGTTCTAGTGTCCATGTCTTTGAATGCGGTGATCCTTGCAAGGTAGCCAAGTCCGATGAAGAGGAGGTTACGTGTATAGGCGAGGTATTGGATGTGTGCCAATTTTGCGTTTGAGCCTACACTTGCATGGCCACGCATTAACAAGTTGGTGAGAAATTGATGTTGTGTAATTATTTTGTGTCAAATGAAGTCTTGTATGATTGTATGATTTATTTGTTTTGTAACAATTGCATTTGTTGCAGACCCCTCCACCGCTGTGTGATTTTGAGCAGTGGATCGACACTGAGATCAAGCTGGAAGACAAGGACTGGATGCAGAAACTGTTACGGTGGGAGACAAATGACAAGGAGATGATGGAGAAGAGACGCAGAGAGGAGGCTCTAGAAAAGGAGCACAAGGAAGAGGATAAAACATTGTTTATGAATGAACCATAGAACTAGCAAGTAATATAGCGGTGGAGGGGTCTCTTCCTTGTGCTCCTTTTCTAGAGCCTCTTCTCTACGTCTCTTCTCCATCATCTTCTTGTCCTCTACCTCCCACCGTAACAGTTTCTGCATCCACTCCTTGTCTTTCGGCTTGATCTCAGTGTCGATCAACTGCTCAAAATCATAGAGTGGTGGAGGGGTCTGCAACAAATGCAATTGTTACAAAACAAATAAATCATGCAAGACTTCATTTGACACAAAATAATTATTACAAAACATAAATTTCTCACCATCTTGTTAATACGGCGCTGACGAAGTGTAGGCTCAAACGCAAAATTAGCACACATCCAATACTCTGCTTATACATATCCTCTTCATCGGACTTGGCTACCTTGCAAGGATCACCGCATCAGCACATGGGCACTGGAACACCACTAGGCAGAGGCAATGGGTCGAAGGCATTTTCGGTCATCCGACCATAACTACAATTGAACCAAATTTGTTCTAAGAACCGAAAGCAATGAACATTAAACCCTAAACCTAGGGTTTTTCCATTTGTTGCACATAAATGAAAACATAATATAACACGATGATAAGAGATTACCTTAGCTTAGTAGCTTTACCACGCTTTGGCATCCTACCGTTACATAATACAAAAAATAAAAAATCACTTCAAACATTAGGTAATAACGTATCTAGGGTTGCAAAATAGACGTAATATATACCAAATCAATGCGTAAAAAATGATAAGGGGAGAGAGGATACCTTGCTCGCGAAGATATATGGATCAAATCCAAGTATCCAAGGTCAAATTCGTCGATTTAAGAGATTGGGCGGGTTAGGGAGAGGAAGAATCCGAGAGGGAGGAGGAAGAAATGAAAACAGCCTCGGCAAGGGAAACTTGGTCGTGGGTTTTGAACCACGGCTCCGAGGTCAGAGCCACAGATTCTGGCACCAAGCTCGGAGCCAAGATCGGTGCCTCCGAGATACTGGCCACGTCAACGTCACCTAGAATGCCCTGCTGTGCACGGTCAGGCACCTCGAATCCAAGATCTGTTGCGCCGAGACGTGTTACCTTGGAGCCACGAGTCCTAACGCCGACTCTCAGGGTATAAAGATGAGTTTACGTCTCCCAGAAAATAAACGTAAATTTTCTTAAAAAAAGACCAAATTATAAAACATGAGGTCGAATTGGAGAGGACATGACGCATCTCCTGTCATGTGGATATAATATAAAATAACAATATCCTAGGGGCGACTGCGCTGATGTCCGCCACAAGCTACATACATGGATCTGAAGAAGCGAGCGATTAGCGTGATCGTGAGTGGGTAACACACCAAACCACACACCACAGCATAGCAGCAGTTGGTTGGTGACTTTTCCCGTGCCCTTTTCCGCCACCTCACCTCCTCCACGTGTCCCCACTACAAATCGCCCGAAAGAAAAGATCCCCCTCCCTAATTTCGTTGCCAACAAAGCAAAGCACACCTAGACCTAGACCTGCTAGCTAGTTGAGTGCACACCACATGAACACAACAGTACCATGACTGCCTGATGCTTCTACCGTCGACAACTGGCCCTGTTCGGCTGGCTGGAAAAAACGGCTGATGCTGATTTGTTGTAAGAGAAAAAACACTATTATTTCGCTAAAACAGTACGACCGATAAGTTCAAGCGAACAGGGCCGATTCATTCATGCTGGTGTACTGTTAGGACGGATCGTCCCATCTTTCTCTCTACTCCCTGCTCCCTCCGTCGTGGGAAAAAAAATGAAATTCTAGCTGCATACCAGAAGGAATATAACTCTAGCTTATGAATAATATAAATATAATACTATGCAATATAAAGTACAGAGTTTATAGGTGTAATTATTTGCTTGTGTTTAATTAATTAACGACCAGTAGGAGTAGAAGTACAAAGATCTTACTATCGAAAATTGAATCTACCTTTTGCCGCTGTGGACTTGTGGTGCATGCTATCCTAGCTGTAGCTGTAGGACTGCTGGCTACTCGTTTCTAGACGCTTCCGTTCCGTCCCATGCGCCAAGCTGGTTACTCCAGGCCAGTTCAATTCTTTTGCTTTGCTGCTCCCACCCAACAGTATTAACTATTTGTATTTTTGTCCTTATTTATATTACTAGATCCAGAGATGATAAACTCATATCACTTGGGCAAAATACATTTGACTCAGTGTTGCAACATCCACTGATCAACTACGTTCACCATTTTCACAGACAGTGTATTCTAATATTTTTACAAGAGCCATCCTTTTTTTTAATGTTGCTAGGAGCTGTTCGGCTGATGGTTTCTACTGCTAATAAGCCAGTTGATGCTAATTTGTTATGAGAGAAAAAACACTGTACCGTGGCTATAAGCCGAGCTGATAAAGTTCAAGCGAACAGGGTTTGTAGGTGGAGTCCCAGCCTTCGAAAATTCTACATCACCCATGCATACGGCACTTACATACATCAACGTTGTCTTACCTGTTAAGGCTCCACATGTATACACATACATTAAAAAATTGGTGGATGTTGAAGTTGGGAGCCACCCGTGTCATCATCTGGTATCATGGTCATGGGCTTTGCCTCTCTGTTCCGTGTTTAGTAGTTCGCTCGATATTGTTACTTAGTCAGCAATCAATTATCAACCACAGCACACAGGCATTGCCAACCTCAATCGGCCATGCCACCCAGGCAACCAAATACGTACAGGAGTATTTTGCTTCCATTTTTCTGGTTGTCCTCATCCCAGGACCCAGATACATACTCGAGTAATCATTCTCACTTGTCAGCATGAACAGCTTGGGGCTCAACCCCAGCTAGACACAATCAACATCAGCTCAGATATGACGCCTGTCATGCATGATTTAATAATATATCAGATACTGGCCATTGCACTAGCAAATCTCAGGTGCCTCCGATCCACAAGACCGTAGCAAACCTCAGCATGCACAGAGCCACAGATTTACATACTACTGGTACTAGGTGCAACACACATACGGCTTTACATATACTAGCTAGCTGGGCAGGCTACTGCATCATGCTCCCCGCCGCCCTACTCTCTGAACCTGATAGATACAAAAGATTGTTCCAGGACGGACATGACTACCGGCGTCCGCCATAACCTTCAATCAGCAGCCCTACTCCTTGTTACGGGTCCCTCGGTCTTTCTTGTGTCCTCCGAGGATACGGGAGATCTGCAGACCTCTGCTAAAGGCCTGGTTGAACAGCATCCTGGTCTGGAATTCGGACACGAACGGGAACCAGGCGAGGAAGGCAATGGGCGTGAACAGGAGAAGCCCCATTAGGATCTCGTAGCCCCGGGCAAGAGCCTTGATCGACCCCCACAGCCCGATCTTTTGAATCACAGGCCTGATAGCTTGGGCAATCTGCAACACAACGCGACCAAGAATAATTAAGTAAATAATTCAGTCACCATGGAATCAGAAGGGGCGAGGGAGAGATTATTATAAGACATGTTCAACAACTAACCAGGAGCAAACCCCATCCAGTGGGCATGAAAGCAAGGATGCAAACAAAGATGTCCAGAACCGTCATGCCAGGGATTGCTATTAGGATTACCACGATGGCTGTAAAAGTTATAAATATGAGACCCTTGATCAACCGGAACACTAGCTGGAACTCTGCACTGAACCTTCTCCTGCCCACTGATACAGTCTGCACAAGAAAATACAACTGAGTGATCCAGCTAGAGAGAGTGGTTAACCATTGGTGCCTCTTAACGAAACAAAAAAAAAAAGAATCTTACTACGATTATAGCATTTCTAGAGCTGTGCAACCTAATTATATATTGTTTAGATTAAGAAAAAAATGCTAAATTATATCAGTCAGAATGGAATCTTTTTTTACTAGATTAGGCACTACCAGAACCAAACCATTGATCCTATCAAAAAAAAAGAACCAAACCATTGATGAATACTCTTCCCTAGGAACCATGAACACAAGAGATGATTGTAGAAAAAATTACCTTCATAACAAGTAAAATGACAAAAATTACAACCCATGAGAAGCCATAAACCTGGAAAGGAGCACTAGTTAGAAAGACTGCACCAGCATAAAGCTGATGAAACTAAAAAAAAAAGCGCACTACCCGAGGTGCAAAGAGCTCCCGCTCATGCGGGTCCGGGAAGGGTGTCACCGGTAAGCCTTACCCTCGCTTTGTGCAATGCGAGAAGACCACGACTGGACCGGGACCTTCCAAATCACAGGCGGTAAGACTCTCACCGCTTGCACCCAGCCCGCCCTTCAAAGCTGATGAAACTAACCCAATGTGAAATAAGACAAGTAAATTACCAGCACACTCTGGTTATCCTTGGTTATCTTCTTTGTTATATTCAGATGATACACAAGTCCATATTGGTAGATAAAGAAACGCAATGCAAGCAGTATTTCAACAATAGTACCACGCTTCCCAGAGTATCGAAGGGGCTCTTGCTCTTTTTCCCACCATGACTCCCAGCTTTTCTCTGGTGCTACACCAATACCTCCACGATTGCTGATCCACTTGTGCCAATCAGTCCAGTCATCCACAATCTTCTGCCACTCAAATCCAGAAGGATTGAACAGGAATGGTGCAAAGAGCCAAGTGCCCACCATGAACCACATGGATATGGTGATGAAGATGTAAGTTATAGCCCCTCTATATGACTGACCAAATATTTCATACACAACTAGTAGAATCATCAGCTCGATGCCCTTGACAAAATGGCTACGGGAATAAAGTCGATAGTTGTCAGCAAATTTGGCATGGAACACCACAAACCCACGTCCAGTGGCTCTGTATTCAGCTCCTCCATGGAGTAACGTCCTTCCGTAGTAGTGAGTTTTTGTTCCCAATGAGAATGTGAAGAAAACAGAGGCCAACTGAAGTTGCATCAGTATAAAGTCACTCAATGCAGTTCTGAATCCTCTCTCCAAACCGATTTCCATCATCATGGGTAGCGCCATCAAAAACCCAAGTTGCACAAAAGACTCTGATGCAAGCGCAACCTGGAGAGGTGCATTGTGCACAAACCTCCTTCCAGTAGCCAGTGCTTCATCAAGTCCACTAAGTACAAGATATAACCGCCCGTAGAGGAAAACATATACAATCCATACTGTGATCTAAGTCCAAACAGAAATAACAGAAACGTTAAGGGTTAAACACCAAACAAGTCCAAAGAAAAATGCAAGATAGGTTAAGTGCTAACCAATGAATGAACAAGAACGGCTAACAATTCAGGTCAGAAAAATACCATTGTACTGAAGTAGAAACCAATTGTTGTGTAGTAACAAGACAGCATCCTGAAGAAATCAAAGCGATGACCTAGACGGTAGATGTCACGGCTCAGCGTCTGTTCGCCATTGCCATTTGCTATCTTTGCCTCAAACAGAGATATTTGATTGAGACCCACATCCCTTCCCTTGCCAACTTGCATGTATTCATGGTGAGTAACATTGCCTTCACGCAATGTGGAATTGAATCCTGCACCATAAGAAGCCACAATATTATCATAACAGTTCCACATTTACAAATGTTGACCAGCAACAGCAAAAGAAAAGTACCTGCAAATATGTCCTCACTAAGATTGATAATTTTGGATGCTTTACTCACACCACCCCTCGTAACGTGGAAAAGGCGATCAAGACATCAGGATGACCATAATGAAACCGAACCCTGAATAAAGAAGGTTCAGGGAAAAAAATGACAAAGCCAACATCTTAGAATAGTAACATTCCGAAGAACAAAACAAATGAGAGGACGATTCACACAATCCAAAGATTGACAAAAGTAGAACCAATAGACAATGCATCGCTACACCATGAATGTAAAATGAAATAAACCAAGATGCATACCTCAACGGATTGGCAAGCACTTTCGTTGTCCAATTGTCACAAAACTAGTTTCCTGATTTGACATGAACCATGCAAGGGATGACACACTGCAGAAATTTCGCAACATTTAATCATGATAGGAAAACATGGAAACTACAGAAAAATCAGAGGTCAGATGGTCTTAGTTTAATTTTAACCTTAAATATATGAAACATGGCATATTACCTGCCCGTAAATATGTGTTCTCTGACTCCAAGTATTGATGGATATCTCACTCCATCATGTTTCTTCTCAAACTCTTGCAGCAGATTTCTCATTTTCAAAGCCTCCTCCATATAGTGCTCCTGCCAATACAACTCAACATAACCAAAGGCACGAAATAGACAAAACAATTCTTAAAACCTACCAGTGCACGCTAAGCTGTACCTGATTCATATCTATAGTTTGGAGACATTCGCCTCGGGTGAATATTATTGCATGGTTCTGATTTTCTGGCTTTCCTTCACCTAAATGGCATTACCTGGTAGTTTTATCTTGTAGATGACCTACACAGAGAAGATATGTGGCTGCGTAAGTCTAATACAATTTGCACAACTGAGGCTGTGGATACTATAAATTGGATGAGTCGTCAGAAAGATTTTGAACTATTCCAAATTAAACACAGAATGATCCCAACACAAAGACAATAAAAACAAGTAAAGTTCAAAGGATTTACGTAACCAGGCACTTCTAGCAATGGACAACCTAGATAAAGAAAATGAACCATGACTTTCTTCAGCTCAGAATGATCCCAACACAAACACAATAAAAACAAGTAAAGTTCAAAGGATTTACGTAACCAGGCACTTCTAGCAATGGACAACCTAGATAAAGAAAATGAACCATGACTTTCTTCAGCTGCTAATCTACAGAAGGTGTTAGGAACTAAAAAATAAGTATGTCACATCCAAGATAATCTCCTTGACATGCCTATATCATCTTCCTCAGCATTCTTTCTTCATCAATTCCAGTGCATCACATTGCAGTTTCAGTAAAGTAAGAATAATTGGTCAAAGCATCAACCATGATAAAGCAGAATAATGTCACACAAGTACATACTAAATTAACAGTGTAGTTTTTCAATACCTGATCAAGGCTCTGACCAGGCTCATTAGGTTTTGTAACAGAAGCCTTCACTAATACGGAGTAGTAAACCTTTTCAATCTTCTTGTTTCTATCTTGGCTGGGCGCTTCAACTTCATCAATATAGGCGACCCGAAGTGATGGATATCTGCCAAAAAATTGCCACTTCTGTTACTCCAATACCATCACATAACACATCACTTATGGACAGCAAATAAACTAAACCATTGACAGTAGTAAGTAGTAAGTAGTAATGTGTCCTGAACAATTTGCATCATCCCGTTACATTACTAACACCTACAGTTATTGGATGAATGACAATCATTAAAAAAAAGTTCATGTTAGCTTAATCCTAAGTCAAACTTCTCTATCTTTGACCAAGTTTTTAGAAAAAATATTTTAAAATCTAAAAGTTCAAATAAATGCATTATCAAGAGAATTTAATGAACCTAATTTGATATCATAGATGATGATGCATTTTTCTATAAATTTGGTCAAAGTTAGAAAAGTTTGACTTAGGAAAAAGGTAGAGTGAACTATAAATTGGAACAGAGGGAGTACAAAAATAAAGAGTGAACTTGGCCAACACATTGCTAAAAGTAGGGCAGATAAGCAAATATTGAAATTAACTGTTGATCCATCGCTAACTACTAACAGTTCCAAATCTAGACTGTTCTAACCCAATAAGCATACTAAGTAGGTTGCAAGCAAAAGCAACCAGCTTGTGTTATTTTCAGATTTGAGCATAAACTTCGAAAAATGGAGAATATTTGCAATTTACTCCTATAACAGGATTTATTCAGAAGTTCTCAAAGAAACTCACTCCGTCATTAGTCCCAAAATATCATGCGCGCAAGGCTCATTAGAACGCTTCTGAATTCCATATTGTTGGCATGAGACAACATATGTAAACTTCATGTCAGCTATAGCCTTGCATTGAGTCATTAATTGTGAGTCCTCAGACATTACTTCCATTGCTCTGTAGCCTTCCATAAGATCTAATGAGACAAGAACAGAAGTTATCACATATGTCACTAAGTCCACATTCAGAACAACAGTTCAGAACCACAGCATAGACTGCTATTAGAAATACCATCATCTTTGGCCATATCAAGAAAAGCCTGAAGCTCCAAAGCTTTTCGATAGTACATCATCCCTCTTACTGCATGCACAAGAGCAACAATGACAAAAATAAAGACACCATACATAGTTTAAGATGTTCCTTGAGAGAAGATATAAGTGCAGCCATGCAGGAGATACACTATACCAGTTCTTGTTAATGTCTGCCCCCTATATGACGCCCAAAGACGAAAGCTTCTCTTCCAGTTCTTCATCTTCACGGAGTTCCTCTTCATTCTTGCAGCCCACCCTTTCGAGGAAATTTTTCCATTCATCTTCAATGAGGTTAGTACACAAAAAGTCAGTTTCAGTGGACAGAGGGCAAACCCAAAAAATTTGCATGAATATCAGTTCAAGTAAATGGTAAGAAAGTGAGAAAATAATAACCTGGGTAAATTTTTTGTAAGTAGAAAAGAATGGAAACTCCGTCCTCATTTGGCTCTTCCAGATTTTGTAATGAGAACAGAACATCTTCCTTGTAATAAGGAGTCAAGATACTGCAACATAGAAATAGTTGAAGTAATGAAATAAGAAACTCAAGCAAAAGACCAAATCAAACATGCATCTTGCAAAAGTGGCTTGCCAACAAGTTTTGTGGAAAAGTATGCAAAAACAAACTTATGCAAGACAAGAATGTAATACATGTTGCTCAAACAAAATGAATACCCAAGCACACTTTAGTTCAAACAAATAAACAATAAAATGAAATCTTTCCAGATACGGCAGGATTCTTTTTGATAAAAGAACTAATAAGGAGGACAGCATCAGCATTTCAAACAGATAAAACTGAAGCAAATACTCTCCGTGTTCCAAATTGTAAGCCGTTTTAGTTTTGTCCTAAGTCAAACTTCTCTGACTTTCAACAAGTTTATTGACAAATATGTTAACATTTACAAAACCAAATATATGTATTATCATTGCATATTTCAAGTTTGATTTAACAAAACTACTTTGATGTGATAGATGTTGATCCATTCTCCTATAAACTTGGTCAAAGTTAGACTAGTTCGATTTAGAACAAAATTAAAATGACCTGCAGTTTGGAAAGGAGGGAATAGTAAATAACCAACTACGTTATTTACATGAGAATTGCCAACAAAATGACTGCACATTGAGCAAATTATAACATGACATATCTAGGACTACCAAGAAGGTTTCAGGAGGGCTAAATTAGTGCATAATACAACATAAACAGATAATCAGCATTAAAAACTTACGAGAAGGGCAACATGTTCCGAACTTTTGGAGCATTGGGCATATCCATAAATAGAGAATTTGCAAAGAACGATATCCGCCGCCTAGCATCAAGATTAGTAGGAACATCCATAGCAGACTCCTTCACAGTTAACAGAAGATGAAGCCTCTTTATCTGAAACAAGCATAAAGTTTATGTCATTGCAGCAACAGAAAGAAAATATATAAGCATCATATCAGAATCCCCATATATAAAGGATGGGGATGAAAATCAGACCTTTTCAGTCCATGCATTTGATTCCTCCACAGGGAACTTAATAGCTTTAGCAAACAACTGGTCTTGCTGATCTAGCGGTGTAATTCCTTCATGTTTTCTACTATGGGCACCATGTATGGAATCCAACAGTCTGGAAGAAAAATAATAAAAAATATAACACAAGCTACCACAACATTTCAGTATAGTAGGCAATCAGTTCCATAATCACTAAATACCATCGCAAAAGGTAACTAGACAAATCACCAAGTTGTATGTAGAAACAAAATAGAACTCCAGCTTTAGTTTTTGTTACTAACAAACAAAAAGAAAGAACATGATAACTATGACAGAAAGAATGCAAGCAGATCTGCATAAGTGGCATGCCATGCATGTTAATATCCGAAGAAGAATATCAAGTACTGTAACAGAAGGAAACTAAGCAACTCACGTGCTGAGCTGATCCTGCTCCTCCATTATATCCCTTGTGACCACCTCAAGCATATCTTGGAACAAAATGACTACCTGACCCAAGTCTTCCTCCTTATTTTTTTGCTGCACTCAAGAAATAGATACAGTTAGGAGGTATCCACCATGAACATGACCTAAAACAACGATGACAAGATTTATACCAGTAATTCAAGTAATTCAACAAACTTCTTGCTCAGTGCAGGAAGGTTCCTCATATTGAGATCCTTTATCAGAGTTTCATCTTCTATATGCTCATCCACAACTGTGAAAATCTGTGCTAGGACACTGAAATAGGCATCACATGGTTATTCAGAAGGAAAATCCAAGCGGTTTAAAGGAACTTCAGTCAAACAGATGTTACACACCAAGGGTTAAATATACAAAATAACTTTTTTTTTCTAGAAAGCCCCCACCCTCCTTCCATCCCTTGTGATAATCCCACCCTCCAATTCAGATCAATCAACTATTTCCAGTTTCAGCATCTTGAAACTATTACCCATTCAAAATGGACCTATATCATATGAGAATAAGGTATGTGGAAGCTTCAAGGAACTACCTCACTAAAATGGACGGTGACTTCAATAGAGTAACTCCACAAATACACTAAAAGCTGCATGCATGATAATTGAAGACTCAAGGCCAGAGTTTCAGTTTATCATATCTTCATCCTTTCACACTCGAATGCATCACTTATGTTTTGAGCCCTTAATTTGGGATGGTGTGTTCAGAGCAGAATTGGTACTATTTTAGGTTTAGTGCCATATTGCTTCCAGTCCAGAGACGAAGAACCACCATGTAATCTACAAAATCGAGCCCTGGCCTAACAAGTACCAACAATGGGGCCCATATTTCCCTAATAAATAATAAGCTTGGTAAGAGAAGACATACTCTTTCTCCCGCTGACCAAACACTAAGGTATTGATGATGTTCTTGAATAAAGCATAGCATTCTCTGATAGCAAAAGAAAAGTATGGATCTGATTTTATCCTCTTCGTCAGATCACGGTCTTTTCCACCACTGTCTGCTGCCATATCCAGTGCTATTGGGATCTACAATCCAACAGATAAACAATAAACTGCTGAATCCACAAATATAGTACATAGAGAAATTACAGAAAGAGCAAGATGAGCAACCTTGCTAGCAAGTAGGAAAGGCGGCCATTGGAATATATCAAGTTCACGGTCTTTACAGTATGGAACCAGTAGCAGATCCATCTCCCTATTGTCTATGAGGTCTTCTTCACGGAAACTTGTAATAATAACGTTCCACATTTGAGCAAACCTTGCAGCTCTTTTCTCTCTCTCTCTTTCGTCACCAGGAGCCTAAAAACCAAAGCTGTGTCAGATCAAATACATATATATACTCTATTGAACTGCCAATGATCTACTCATAATGCCCAGTCTTACAATAGAAACAAATTACCTTGGGTCTACTTGAAAAAGCAGCACGAAGACCTTTACTCTTATTTGCATCAGAAGGAATCAAGCGATCATTGAAGGCCTCAGGCAAAGATTCAAAGCGAGATCTCAACATGCCTAATGTCCGTATCTGAACCACGAAAGGAGTCTAATGTGAGTCCCATCGATCATGATAAATTATGCTCCACAATACTAGAGAAATATATAATAAAGTAATGAGGCATCATAAAACAAGCAGAATTGGGTAAAGAAAACGGAATAAAAAATAACAACATTTTTATTGATGCTACCAATATGGAAAAAAACTAGAAACGGTTGCTTAAAAATAGGAAGGGGGGAACACAATCCTAGGACTAATTTTCTGATTGCTACTAGACACAATTCAGTTTATTGGACAAGGAAACTGTTTCGAAGGCCAAAGAAAGGTGCATTAAAAATACGCAAGATACTAAAATATTTTACCAACCTCACCAAGACGACGATAAGCCCCGTAGATGCCACCAATCAGAGTAGAGAACAGTGCATACCAAATTTGGGTGTCCATGAAATATACCTGTATTTTAACTAATTAAACCCAAACTAATAGAAAGACTTCCTTCTTATGAGCAACAAGACGGATCAAGACATACCAGGATTATTGGAGCCCAGAGTGATATAACAACACCAATATTGTTAGTTCCTGCAAATTAAACCTAAATAAGAAGCCAAAAAAGATATAAAAAAATGTAAAATAGGGATTTCATGACAAATACCATGAGGGAAAAACTCGTGCCACTGGAATGTCCTGATAGGTTCTCTCATTATATCTTTGGTTGGCTGTACCAGAGGTTTGATCTGCAACAGGACAGTAACACAAGATGAATAACCAGCAGCCATGGAGAGCTTAGAAGGCCTAGTTCTCTTTGAATCCCAAACGAATGGACAATAGATCTCCAATCATTCCGCATGGCAATCGCTTTTTCCACATGTACAAACTATGTGTTCATTCTTATTTATGCGTCTAACATTCGATACATCTGGTCGGCAACTTAACTTGTGACTGAAGAAATCCAAACATGAATTCGGTAACCCAAAGTTCATGCAAAACCATGTCTTCATGGAGTTGTGCAGTCAAATCATATTTTGCCAACAAACTACCATGCACAAGCAACATGACATGGGACTTACTGTTTCTACATTATCTGTTTTCCAACTACCAAAACCACAAAAATTACACCTAGAACAGTCAAGGTCAATACTCAAACCGTGAGAGTTATCGATTTATTTTTGTTCTTTGATAATGATTCTACAGGTAAAGAGCGAAAACTTCATGTTCAAGGATACCAAAATGCGGCATCCATCAACAGTGGTGGAATGAACATGATACAAGAAATGAATGTTACCTCAATATAGAAGCTTACTATCAACTTCATTGCTAAAAGAATAATCCAGAACATGGTATACCTGTCAGGACAACAATGTTCAGTAATTGAAAAAGATGTAACACGAGACAAGATAATGTGAAGATGGGTTAACAATTTAACATACTTGAAGAGGGAGAATGCACCTTCATGCATCCCTCTGCCAACAAATAACCGAGGCTGCAGACAAACATAGAATCTTTTAAAAAAAGAAGTCGTCAAGAATCTTGACCATCTAATTAACAGGCAGAAAACTGGAGATGGAATGCTACCTGAGACCACCACATCATGATCGTTATGACCTTAACATTTGAACTCTCTAGAAATCTTCTCATAAATGGGAAAAGAAATAGCATAGAAGCAAGTATGTTTGGTGCCATATATATCACTATGGCCAATATATACAAAGATGGCTGATTCTGACCATCACCAAGCCAGCTTTTTATTGTTCTTGCGAGACCAGTAGGATTCTCCCAAGTGTACGCGTAAGTCACAGGTAAAATCACAACCCATGCAGCAGCAGATATTAACTTCAAGACATATCGCAGCTTGACTGCAAATGACATGCTTCTTCTTGCTTTCCAGCCAAATACGAGGTCTAGGATTGCTGTCACACACATGATAGATTCATTAGCATTAATTAAATCCTTCCTCAACATAAGACACATATATGCAAATTATTGAGTTGCATGCACCGACCAGTTCAACCCTAAAGCTTAAGCTGATGGGGAGAGGTGCGCAATTCACTTATATTCCAACACAAATGGAAGAAAATGATAATTATTTCCAAAAAAACGATGATGTTAAACATACAGCCCCAATTTCAATAAGAAAATAGCCCCAGAAGAAGTTATTTTTTAAGGTGCATGCCTTCATGCCAGTCACCTAGCCAATATAGGGTTCAGGGGATTTCAATGAGCAGGAAAACTTAACAAGGTACATGATGCTTGCACAATTCACAAAGACCACTATAAAAGTAAAAACTGTAACAAGATTGGCATGTAGAGCTTACAAGTAGCAACTACTGAGATCCCAACTAAATAATTGGGGAGTGATATGGCAAATATGTAAAAGGGAGATGGAGGGAATGATGGGAGTGTCAAATACCTTGACCCAACTTCAAAATTGCAGCAGTAATAAATATGCTCAAAACCTTCTTAAATACTCCAGCATCAAAGATATCACTTGGTGTTCCACCATTCCAAGCAATAATTATCATGGCCTATATGAAAATCATAACCATCACAAATATGTTGAATTAAGGGGATGATAATGTCTAACAGAGGTATTTAAGGAACTGTAACAGATAGAAAGTGCATACAAAAGAGCAACTAACCTGTAAGGACAATATTAAGAAGATCCACATCCTGTCAAAACTACGGAATATGTGCCAAAATGAACGTATCTCCACAAAATTAACTTTTCCCATCCAATGGACATTGCCTGCAGATCTGTTCTCCTGGATGACGACAAGAAAAATGGGTTTCAATAGGACTGATAGTCCAGGGAGTCTTTATTTTGCTTGTTTTAAGTTGAAGGAAAAACTAAGGATCACATCAGATCATGGATCTGTATTCCAAGCTATGAAGTGTAAAAGACAAGGCAAAATGAATGTAAAACGAACAGATCAAACCTATCTGTAGTAATATTATAGACCAAATGAACAAAATTGCCAGAATTAGAGCATCCACCAGAAAAGAAAAGGAACATCAGAATATTTTAAGTTCAATGTGTATATACTTAAGCAATTGTAATATTAGCTATCACAAGAAAACATTAACGTATTTAGATTACACAATGTCAGAAAAGAAGTATGAGGATATCAATATTATTGAGAGAACCTACTCCATTCAAAAGATTCAGATAAGCATCTTTCGGAGTTTTGAAAAAGTCAGCATCAGCTCTCATAGGCCATCCTAGCCGGAAACAATCAACTGACCTGACAAGCCATACAGTAATGATTTGGGTTTCATTAAAATCTGGGGCACAAGATTGTAAACAGCAATGCAATCAACTCATCACTTACCAAAAGTACTCATTCAGATCATCATAGTTTCTCCAATGCGAGTGCTTTGATTTCATGGTCTTGCTCCTTTCAGCTTCCTGTTAAGTTCCCATAAACTGTGATCAAATTGAAATGAAAGTAAGACAACATTCAGGTATTTAAAATAACACATGTTATACCTTCTCTATAACTTTGTATATTGGAGTCACGACTTTCATCAAAAAGGCTTCTTCATCACCACCATATGCTGGTTTAACATTTTCACCGGTCATTGGGCTCACATTTCCAGCCAGCATACCGTAGAGTTCAAAAGCCATCTACGCCAAGCAAAATAGCCTCATATAAATTAAAATTTGCAAGCCATATACTGCTATATTTTTTCCATGAATTTCAGGGTATGATCTTCACTACTGTAAGCATATCAAAGTTAATTTGGAAAAAGAATGCAAGTCAATCTTACATGATGGTAGATGTAACAAATACACTCTGGCATGAATCTCAAATTAGCCGCCTCACCCCAAATCAGCAGGTAGAGGCCCATATAAAGAAGCTTACGCTGCTGCACTTCCTGCTGGATGGTTGGCAACCTAGAAATCAATTCGACAAAACGTTTAGAGAAGCAGTAACTTAACAAAGAGATGTACTATATGTCCTTTCAAGTGTAGTAGCTCTAAGGCTGAAATGCCATGATTTGCAACCAACTAAACAAAACAGAGGAGTTTAAGCACAGCTCTAGGAAATCAGTCCAAGTGACTCATATACATTTCATAATGGATCCTCTGTACCTACCATAAACTGCTTTTGCGGCCAAGGTACTTGCACCACTTCTTATAATTCTTAAATAGCTTCTTCATCACATCATCCAGAGCTTTGTCATCCAACTAAAAAACATAGCACCACATACCATCAATAAGCAAATTGGGGCAGGTTCAAAAAAGAAAGGTCATCTGGTTCCTCTAGAAGATCTAGACAGACAGACACACACACACACACACACACACACACACACACACACACACACACAGAGAGAGGAAATTTGTACCTTTGGTTGTAGGTCAGCCTTGGGTATTTTCCTTATATGAACATTTGCAAGCAACAGTATCAAATGTTCCCTTTGGTTGGACACGTTGTCTTTCTGAAAAGGGACTTAAGTTAGATGAACGTATATTCTAACTTCTAAGCGTACTTTTAAGGGCAAAGCACGCTACAACACAGAGAATGCCAGGAACAAATAAGTTTCAGTGTTTCACACAATTACCTGAAACCCAAACATAGCCTGAAGCCAATCAAGAAGGTCTTTACCAGTATTCTTGTCATCAGGCTTCTTGTCTTGGTCCTTTGGCCATGGCAGACCTCTAGTATTGCGAAGAGCATAAACAGCAGCTTGAATCTACATAATTATGAGGAACAAGACATTATTAATGGTTTGCCTGCAAAAGGCGTAGTTTGGCTCTTAAGATGGACAATGTTAACGAGAAAGATGATAGACGAGAACCTCTGGATATTGCATAATGGCTTGACCAGTACTTTCAGGATCAAGCGGGAGAATGTTGTAAGGTAAAAACAACTTTTTCTTTTCCTCGACCTTATTGTGTGTATCCAAAATCTGTGCAGCAATAACACACGAACAGGATTCACAGTTACAGTCCATAAAAGAGGTGCAAGACAAGGTGTACCAATGTCAAGAAAGAGAACAGAAATCAGCATAGCAACAGAGATGAAAGGCATACCGCTTGATCGACTTCAACAGACTGCGAAACATTAACTGCCCTCAAGACCTCAAACAAGACAGCAGCCGTTTGGTATGCCTTCGTGAGCAGTGCACTGGGGAAACAGAAAGGCGGAGCGTGAAGGAAGGAGGAACAAGTGAGCGGCACGCCGAAAGCAAGAAGCGTCACGGGAAGAGAATTGCTCACCGGTCAGCAGCCTTATCAGCAGCATTTTGCAGTGCCTGGATGTATTTTTTGTAGTATTCGCGGTAGAAGCGCTGCATTTCCCTAGCATCGCTCTGGTGGACCCTTCCCTTCAACGTGGGATCATTTTCCTGGAGAAGCGTAAAGCCGAGAGGTCAGCCTTTGTTTGGCATCAGCCATCATCACAGGATTATGAGCACACAAGTTGTGGAGGGACATAGGGAACGAGAATATGTGCCAGGTTTTAACATTTTGTTATAATGAGTGAAAACAAGCAAGGAAAGGCCTTGGTAGTAAGCAGCGGGCACAGTGGCAGCGGCATTGCAGCAGTGCGTGGCGTGGAACAATAAATAGCTGTGCGTGGTGAAGAATAAATGATGGATGAACAGTAAAAGGAGGAAAAGAGGGGAAGAGTTGTACTAGTACTACGGACCCTCTCAAGCCTCTGCAAAAGTGCGGTCTTGAACTGACGAACACCACGGCCACTGGAAGTCGGGTCGAGGCGGTGAGCCTTCTCGAAAGCGTAGAAGCGACCTGGAGCAAGCAAGCAAGTAAATCGGATCGAACAATTACCAGCGGTAAGAAAGAGCACAAGAAAGCTAAAACTTACAGAGGTAGGCGACGCGCGGGTTGGTGGCCTCGACCTCGTTGGCGACGCGGAGGATGGGCGCGATCTCGACGAGCGAGGAGGGCACGACCTCGCTGTCGAAGATGGACTCGCCGAGGTTGCCGACGGTCTGGGTGCGCAGGAGGCGCCTGCCGGTGGAGGAGGGGGCGGCCGGGGACGGCGAGGGGGCCGGCGAGGACGAGGACACGTCCGCCGTCCTCCGCCCCGGCGCCGCCATCCCGCTCCCGCGTCACCTCACTCACAGACACCAGCTGACCCCAAACCCTCCCTCCCTTCTCCCTCCCCTCCTGGAATCTCTGCAGCTCGCGCAGCAGCAGCTGGCACGGAATGGAATCTCCCCCTCTCCCTCCCCAGCACGGGAATGCGGCCGGGTTAGCTTGCTTTTTGGGTGATAGATATGGTGGCGGCGAATGGAATGAAACCCTAGATCAGATTTGGCGGCGACGGCGGCGAGGCGGCGCAATGCCACGGGAGGGGAGGGGATTGAGGTGAGTGGGGTGAGCAGAGAGCAGCAGCCAGTGAGGCTGAATGAGGATGGAAAGCTGGAGGAGGGGAAGGTAACGGACGGAAAGGTTTCGCTGGGGTTTTCGAACTTTGTTTTCGTTTTGGTTTGGGGCCGTAGTTGAGGCCTGGGGTTTGGGAGGTTCTACGGTTTTGCCACTACGGTTTACGCATGACAGGTCGGGATGGGAGTGGCAGTGCCGTGATTAGGTACGGTATCCAGGGGATGGACGGAGCTCGGAGCTTTGGGTTGGGTGGGTGCACAGTGCACAGTGTACAGTACTCTGCACGTCGGCCCAAACCAGCGCAGCACAGGCTCGTCGTTTTGCGGTCATCCCCCCGTCCTTCTTTTTCTCGTCTCTCACTGGTCTTACCGGCAATCTCATGACGGGCTACCTAGCGCCTAGGCTTCTTTCTAGCTGCACATGGCATGTTTGGCTGTGTATATATCTACCAAGCTTTTGTTAAATATTTTTAACCAACGAAAAGTAATAATTTTATGTGCCACGCACTTTGAATCTAATGGGTAGCATGCAGATTATCAGCTTGTTCGTTTGTTTGTAAATGATAGTAAATTTCTAGCTGAAAATAGTGTTTTTCTCTCGCATTAAACCAGCCAGCAGTAAATAATTCACGATACGATACGGTCTCTCAAACAGGCTGTATAATGGTTTAGGCAGGGTGTCCTACGCCCAATTTATATGAGTTCCTGTATTACTTTTCTGCACTGCGTGCTGGATTTCAGTTTATTTTTCAAGTCTGGATGATACATACATTACTACCGGTTGTTAACAATAGACGGTGCTGCTCACGAAGTACCACTTGTTACTCCTACCGAAGTCTTCAAACATCGAGGAGTCGTCGAACTACCGATACCTCCAACGAAAGGTGGACCACTTGTTGCATTTTCGCTCATCAGAAATTTAAGGCCGCAATGCTTCCAAGCATTGTGAAAATGGACAGCCCTGTTTGGTAGTAGTACGCACAGTTCTATGCTCTAATGTTGCTCTCACATAAGTATGGATTTTTTTTCCCGTTAACGCTAGCAATCAGACGCCCGTCTGCGCGCGGACGCTCCTGTTGGTAAATCCGACGTCCAGGAGCCTATCCATTCCTTTCCGCTCCCTCCACTCCCCTCTGGTTACCATAGATTATAAAAAAAAACTCACGCAACAACGACTGCACTCCGCCACCGGCTCCACCGCGCCTCCCGCACGTCTTCCTCTCCATCGTGCCTCCCGCTAGCCTTCCTCTCCACCGCTGCCGTGACAGCCCCGCGCGCGGTGTGCTCCTCCACGACCGCATAGCCGTTGTCGCCTCGCCGCGCGAGGCTGCACCCACCCAACTGTTACTATCGCCTCCACGTTGGGCACTGTTCGTCGGAGGCACCGCATGTGCCCCTATCGCCGGGGGCACCGTAGCCGCTCACCGGGGGCCGCACAGCCGCCCGCCCGCTGCCATCCTCCACCGCGACTGCACAGCCGGATCCTGTTGCGTAGTGCTCCACCCGCCTGGCTGCTAGGTTTTGCTGAAAGCGTATGTTTCGAGTGTTCCAGATGTTTCAGAGGTATATTACAAGTGTTTCAGATGTATGTTGCAAAAATATATTGTGATATTACATATGTTGTAATGGCTGTACACGTATGTTGCAAAGGTCTGTTACCAATGTTTCATTTGTGTTTTTTTGAACTATGTTGCAAGTGTATTTATATGGGTGTTGCATATGTTTCACACATATGTTGCATGCGTTTTATCTCAATGTTGCATATGTTTGCAATGGTTTTCAAGTGTTTTCAGGTGTTTTTCAAGTGTTTCATAAGCATTTTTTAAGTGTTTCATCTGCTTTCAGACGTACGTTGAAAGTATTGCATTTGGATGTTTCAAAAGTAGATCGGGTGTTGCATCTCTCCTCCTCGCCTTCTACCGCATCTGCCGCTCCTCCCCCTCTTCTCGATGCCGGTGACGTTCGGGGCAGTGCGGTCCCCACATGGACGTGTAGAACGGTGCAGGAAATGGATTGCGGGGTGCGGGCGTCCGAACACCCCGTCCGTTCGGACGTTCGAGCGCTAGCAAGCCCGTTTTTCTATCATACGAAAATGAGCTATGGGCTATGGTAAAGTAACTATTTTTTTTCAACATGTACTGAGAGCAGATTGAAGCCGCAGCGATTTCCAAACAAAACCTAAGCCGTTTGATTCTCTCATCTTTATTTCGTCACGACTGAACTAGGTAATGGTAACCTCATGATGGCTGTTTGTTTGGACATGATTGGTTGGTACCTAGCAAGATTTTATGTCGGTGTTTTTTTACTACCAATAAGTATCCTGACGTGTCACGCATAATAGATCAAAGGGGTAGCATGCGTGGCACAAAGATTACAATGGTTCAAGTAGGGTTGTCCTACTTCCAATTTATATGAGTATGTGCATTAATTTTGTGTGTCGTATGCTAGGATGCGTATTTTGCGTGCCAAGGTCGAGTAGGGGTGTTTTGGATAAGGTATCGACAATGCCAATCAAGGGCTCCCTATCCTTCTTATGCTTGGTGGGTAGGGTCACAAATAAAAGCCTCAGTGTGATCGGTTTACAAATTCATTTCCTAGTCGGTTTACATGCATATATCTTTGCATTGTCTACCAAGTCAATGAGAAAACCCTAAATTAGACTCGCCTTCGACTGATCAACACGGCCCTCCCTGTCTAGTGGGACGATTTATGGTCTCAACGACAGGGTCCATGTGCTCATTAGTAGCCCCCTGAGCCTTCGTGCGATTTAAGAGAAACATATGAAGGTTTAGCAGTTGTCTTCTTGTGTTCTTCTTGCACGACTGGTTCCGAGTACTTAAAGTGCCTTGCACTCGGGTGCTTCATGTCCGAGTACTTAAGGTTGGTAGTTATCCTTCATGATGTGTGTCGAGCCTCATAAGGTATGCCCGAGTGATGGAGCCAAACGGTGTTATCGGCAGCATGCCATGATCGACTCAGGATGAGCCCGGCAACATTGCGGCGGCGGCGTGATTTTTTTTTTCAAACACAAGACTTTTGAAATGAACAATTTATTATTGTTAATACATGTTTTGCTTGGCTGTTATGAGCATTTTATCTAACTACCGCAGTAACACGCGGGGTAATCGACTGGTCATCGTTATTGTTTGTACCATTAGTATTATAATTAAAGGATCGGATAGCCATGGAGACAGGAACGACGACAGAGACAAAGCGGCATCACGCGCATGGTCTACGGAGAGGGAAGACGATGTATCTTTGATTGGTGATTATTATTGACGATGAAAAAGGCTGGCTTTTTTTGCGAAAGGAGATGGCCGAAACTAGAAGAAACGCAGGGAGGAAGAGACAGAGAGCTGCTGAGATGACTTTATTACGTACGTACCACTGTAGCAGACACGCGACAACACGGATAGGATGGATCTCGGCGAGCAGGGCGACAGTTGAACACAGTACCACACTGGAATCATCAATCAATCAATCAGTACCTACTCCGTACCGGTAGTAGGTTAGAAAAACAAGACAATTAGGCAAAGCAGTGCTATACGTACGTAGTATGTACCAGTAAATCTGTTCCAAATTATAGCTGGTTCGACCTTTATTTACTCTAAATTCGATCACCCGTCTTATTTAAAAATTTATGCTAAATATCACTTCTTTTACTATGATTGGCTTTATTAATAAAATTTCTTTAAAAATGACTTAAATTTAACTATGCTTACATAATTTTTTTTTAAAAAAACGAATGATCAAACTTAGGGTTAAAAAAAGTTAAACAAACTCTAATTTAGAACGGATGGAGTAGCGTAATAGGCAGGAGTATAGTGCATCATATGCCTTTTTTTGGCTTTAATAACCCCTATTTTTCCATGGTTTTTCAAAGCTGCCACGTCACCCTGAATTCGGGCAGTCGAGCCACGTCGCTCGAAATTGCTTTACTTGGCTACCAGCAAGCCACGTTGCCCTAATTCACCCTAAATAAATTGATGCCTCCCCTTCTCGCAAAAAAAAGGCTCTCTCCCACGCCCGGCCTCCCATCTCGCTCGTCTCGCTCACGCTCCTCTTGCGGCGCGCCGCCTCCGCCTCCGCCGCTCGCGCCCCGTCCCCTGCACCGTCCGCTGAAAGTGCAACCAAGCCTTAATTGTGGGTTTTGGTGATAATGATCACGTAATTAGAGAATTAATGAGATTTATCGAGATGACAAGCAAAAAATTCATGTTCGAGGATGCTAATGTAGATGGCTTCAAACTCAAAGGAGGTTTAAATTCATGTTCTACATGAAACGGAGGAGCCTCCAATTACAAATGTAGATGGCTTCAAACTCAAAGGAGGTTTAAATTCTTTTATATTTTGAATTTAAGTATAGAAAAAGCCGTACTATAAAAGGGAACACAATGCTTAAGCTAATATGTACTACTAAGTGCTCAAACATACACATGCATCATCAGATTCACAGCTAAGACAGTCTACACTTCACTCTTGCCCTTGCTGTCTTGAGTGGTGCCGCGCTGCCGCACTTGAAGAGTGGCACTGCCGCAGTGCGGCACTGCCACGACTTAAGTGATCGTTGGGGGCTAAGGGTATTTATACCCTTTTCCTTCCTTCCCAACGGTACTCTACCTCTTCTTCCTCACTTCAGCACGCTCAAAACAGAGCAGGAGCTCTCTCTCTCCCCCCCCCCCTCCATTGTTGACCTCAAGCCCCCAACCAAA